GAAACTCATAAGAATGTAAATCAAACGTATATACACTGTATGTTCCAGACACCCCTTCTACTTCGTGAATTCAGGTAATTTAAAGGGGAATTCCACTGATTTTTCAAGATTTCTGCCTAACTTAATTGGTAAGATCAGAGGAAATCAAAGTCATTCTGAGTGGTTGATGTGAAATGATTTGTTCTAGAGAAACATAGAGTCTGAATTGTTCACAGTGGTTGTGATGGGAACGATTCAGCTAATTTAAAGGGGTATGCCACTGATTTCTGCACAGTGTATTTCTTGTTAAAATATAAACAAAGTCTTTCAGAGTGGTTTGATGTAAAATACTCTGTTCTAGAATAGCTTACAGAGTCAGAATTGTTCACGGTGGTGATGGGAACCAGACATCTAAAGAGTTTTAACACCTCTAAAAGCTCTCTCACAGACAGCTATTTCATGAAATGGTGACAAATACATCTCCTGATGTCTAAGACATTGTTTTGTAGTTGTTTTAAGATACAATTTGGCCTAAAATTAAATTTTTAGTCCATTCTTTGCGTAGATGTACATGCAGGGCATTGTAAGGCAAAATAACTCTTAAAGAAATGTTAACCTTTTCAGATTTACACTATTTTAACATTATCAGCATTGCATGTAACAGAGGTGTCCAATCTTATCCACAAAGGGCCGGTGTGGGTGCAAGTTTTCGTTCCAAACAAGAAGAGCACACCTGATTTCACTTGTTTAGTCAGTCAGTCTCAGTCTTTAAACAGCTGATCATATGAGTTCCTGCTTTGTTGTAACGAAAACCTGCAGTCACACCAGCCTTCGTGGATAAGATACCCTATAAAAAAAACTCAGAAGACACGTGTGGGTTGACTGATCATTTTGGATAGTGAAGGGCTACATTTGTATCGTAAACATGATTACACGCTGTAAAAAAAATAGTCTGAAAGTTTCTCTAGAATGAATCATGTCACATCAAACCACCTTGAATCACTTTGGATCTCAATGATTTAATCATGCAGAAATTTTGAGAAATCAGTGGAATTGTCCTTTAAAGGGCACACGTCCTACATTTTTCCTAGTATTTTTTTACTCTTATGGCATTTGTGTAGGTTTATGTACTTACGTTTTTATATGCTCCTTAGAAAAGCATTGGCCCATAGAATGGAGCGCTCTGGAGCAGATGCACATCAGTCTAAGGTCACCATGCCCAGTTCCAAGAGTTGGCTAGAGGGGTATAAAGTGGAACTGTGTTCTGTGGAATGTCAGAGCTCCATCCAATGCCTTTGAGATGAACTGAAGTGATCCCTTAGATTGCATTACTCCTGGGCTGAATGTAATTGAAGTCTCACAGCAATGTTCCAACATCTTGTATACAGCCTTCCCAGAAGAGTGGAGGCTATTTGGCAGTAAAGGGGGGGGCAAAATCTCTATTAATACCCTTGATTTCAGAAGAAACACCGGATGAGCAGGTGTCTACAAACATGTGGACATATAGCATGTTTTGTGTCTGAAAAAGTTGTTCATTACTACATGGGGTAATAATAAATATAGGACAATAACAGTACTGTTAAGGCTGTTAGATGAATGTAGTATAAATGTAACACTATTTCTAAATCCCATCAAAACAGACATCATAATTTCAGATACCAATGGACTGTCATGAATAAGGAAAATGCATAAGTAAATAAGCAGAGGCCCTCATCTAATATGCTGCTACCTTGTTCTCGTCCTATTTCTCATACAACATAGAATTGATCTATTTTTCCATGAGATCTTGTATTTATGACACCATAACTAAATCAGATTGTGGCTCTAAACTATGAAAAGCTTCTTATAACAGTAGTAAGAGGAAAATATGACACGTTTGGTTATTTATTTTCTCTGTTTGTTTTCAGTGCTCTGCATAGAACTGAAGAAAAGCAAACGCAAGTGCCAAAGGAAATCCTGAAGCAGATATAGTCTATGTGTAAAATTCTAACATCTTTTCTTTGGTTTCTGCATAGCCTGCTCATTTTTTCTAATGCTACATCCATGCTGCTAGCATGTTAACGCTGTTGTGCACTGAAATGACGTCATATAAAGGTAAGTCTACTTTTAAACTTTAACACCACAATATAAAAAGCTATATAGGCTACTACAGCCAAAGCTACCACATTTGACGAAGCTTCCTGGTTTCTGTGGGGTCTTTTGGTGGGGTTGCAAGTGTTATTATGTCAGTTCAGTGCGCAGCAATGTTAGCTTGTATGTAGCAATATTCATATTTCGACTCTTGAACCACTTTGTGATTCAGAGGAGCCGACAATATTCGGAAGAACAATATACGTAATGTATTGAGTTTGGAACATTTAAGGTGCAGTTATTGCATTACTGCAAATTTCAAAAACTCTTCACTTTTTCCATTGAGGAAAACAGCATAGAGTTCCTAAAATATACACAACTTCAGAGTTTTAATTTTCAATTAAGCCTCATTGATTGATTGATTGATTTATAAAGATTAATCTTTGAGTTTGAGACTATGCACTGCTCTTTGGGACACTTATAAATGGTGGTGTTTATATATCTTCATTAATTTTTAAACTGGACTGAATCTGTTCCTAAATGTACATTGTTATTATTTAATTTGATGGAAATGTTTTGGTATCTCTGTAAATTAATGGTTCAGGGTCAAATCAAATTCATGCAAATTTTCCATTTACCTGGAGCCGCAAGGCTAAAATAGCTAACAAGCAGTGGAGGATTATGACCACCATTTAAAGCGTCATGTAAACTACAGGCCGAAATCATCACACATTTGCATCGAACAGTTTTAATCTGCTACTTACTGCCATTAGTGCATAAACCATTTTATAAAAGCAAAACAGCAAAATATATCTATATTTCAAACTTTGAATGTAGCCTGTTAATAACATTAGAACTGAATTATGGCCACTCCAGTTGAATTATGGCTCCAGTTTTCAGATGATGCTGTTCATTTTTACGTACAATTAAATGTCAGACTTAAACCACATTGACATGTTTATTTGAGATTACTTTGCAACTAGCGGTTTAAAGGAGAATCCCACTGATCTTTCAACATTACTGCACAATTAAAGGATTTAATTAAAGTCATTCAGAGTGGTTTGATATGAAATCCACTGTTCTAGAGAAACTTACTGAGTCAGAAACATTCACACTGGTGGTGATAGGAGCCAGACGTCTCAAGCATTTAATCTGAAAGCTCCCTCAGAGAAAGCAATTACATGAAATGGTTACGGGTACGGTGGCTGATCCCTGAGACACTGTTTCACAACAAATTTGAGAAAAAGTTTTTAGCCTAAACGTGTCCATTCATGTTCAAGTTCATGCAGGGCATTAATAGTTCTTGTAATAGTAATAGTTAATGGTAAGACACAAAAGTACCCAAAGAAAACTTCTTTTTCAGATTTATTACTATTTTACCATTATCAACATTACATATACAAACACAGAAGATGTGTAGGTTCACTGGTTGATTCGGGGAGTAAATAAAATGGCTATATTTGTGTTTTAGACATTGCAACATATGCTTCCTGTCACCACCGCTGTAAAGAAGTCAGTAAGTTTCTCTACAATGAACCAGTTCACATTCTGGATACTTTTTATGCCTCCATAATTGAATTCTACAAACCTTTTGACAAATCTGTGGAATTCTTCTTTAAGACAAGTGTGATTGTTTTTGCATGAGGCTAAGCTGTGGTTATGGGCTTTTATTAGCTATATTAGCTTCATAATTCCAATGCAAAAGCTAAAAAAGAAACATTAGGACACCAAACACATACTGGCTGTTCTGTTACTGTTATTTGTGGCATGTGAGATATACATTTTTTTTTTTCAGAACCATTCTTTTAAATGGCCCATATTGTGGAATATTTTTTGTCTTATTTTATTTATATGAAAGAGTTTGATATAGTATAAAAACACAGCTTCTGAACATACCATTTGCTCCTCAGTTGATACGGTCAACAAGAAAATGGGACTTAAGGTGCAGTGGGTTTTAGTGTTGCGACCTATTCAGATTACATCAGTTCTGCCTCATCCGCTCATGTGGAACTTATAAGGAATGTTTCAGTCTGGACTGCTTTTAAAATGAAGCACAATACAAGGCAGCCAATCAGACCAGAGCTCATTTACATATATTATCCTTAAAGGCACAGTAACATTAACAGCCTGTTCAGTTCTAGGGATAAAGGGAAAATGGCTGTGTAAAAAAGAACAACTGGTCGTAAGGGAGAAAAAATATTTTATTGTAAACAGTGCAGTTACTTTTTATCATGTATCTTAATAATCCAAGCATTGTGTGTATTGAAGGTTTGTCAGCTGTTTTTGCACACAATTATTACCATTTTATTATGGATCTATGTAGGTATTTGGCTGATATTCACAGCTTATAAACTGTTCTTAACCCTTAAGAATTTTCAGCACTCATATAATTGTTAAAACTGGTCTTCGTGAGGAAAAAATGAAAATATTAGAAAAATGTTCACACATTTCATGGGTTCTTTAGTAAAGGCATGGGTTCTATTGCATTCTATATAGAACCGTTCCATGCTTGAATGATTCTTTGCATGGTGAAATGGTTCCTCAGATGAAGAATGCATTGTATATTATATAGCACCAAAAAGGATTTTTCTGTTGTTACAAGCTTGGCACTGTAATAGTAGCAGAACCCGTTTTGGAGCTGTGTAGAACCATTTTCAACCATGAAACAATATACAACACATTCTCTAACAATCTGAAGAACCATTTCACCATGCAAAGAACCACTGAAGCATGAAATGGTTCTACATATAACTCATAGTTATAAACTCAACCATTGTCTTTACTGAGTAATCCTTGAAGAACCATATGAGCCCTTTTAAAATGTGCAGTCTGGGTCTGTATTGCAATGCCACTCTGTCACCATGTGGTGTCGCTCAAGAGTAGCTGAACGTGCGTCTCGCGCCTCTCCCCCTCCCCCTTTCGCTTGTTGTGTGTGTGTGTGTGTGTGTGTGTGTGTGTGTGTGTGATGTGTGTCGGGCTAGAAAGTGAGCCTGGGTTTCCAGCTGAGTGCTTGCGCTCCTCTCAGTGTGTGTGTATATGTGTGTGAGCGCGTGCGTGCGTGCGTGTGTGTGTGCTGTCATTATTACTATCCAGTCTGCTCCCCCTGCTCAGAATGGCCAGATTCGCTCAGACTGAGACAAGACGGCAGCAGCCTCCCCCCCAGCAGCCCCATCCCGCTCACTCCAGCCTGCTCTCCACCGGACCCGGGGCTTCACCGACCCAACATCCACTCCTCCCTCTCCCGCACCAGCACCAGGGCGCCCAGACCCCATTCCCCAAACCCATGAACGGGTCAGAACCCATCTCCATTCATCCGGAGAACGGCACCATGAAAGACCAAGACGCCATAAAACTCTTTATCGGGCAAATACCGCGGAACCTAGAGGAAAAAGACCTGAAACCCCTGTTCGAACAGTTTGGGAAAATCCACGAATTGACAGTGTTAAAGGACCGATACACCGGCATGCACAAAGGTAAAGCTTCAGATCCCCCCCTCGCCCCCCCCCGCCAGCATTGTTTACCAGTCTACTTACTACTGAGTCTATCTATTGTAAACAGTTGCTTGTTATTATATTACATGCACATACTAATAATCTGAGCATTGTGGGATTTTTTCTGGGTTTGGCAGCTGTTATTGCACAGCGTTATGATAGCCATTCTGTTACTGACCTACGCAGTTATTTGGAAATTAGCATCATTTTGTGGTTGTTTTAGTTTGAAACTTCATAATTCTTAAATTTGTCATTCAGTGTGTGAGACTTGACACTTTGCTACTACAATGCTGATATAATTATTAGCCTACGTTATATTAAGAGTTCGTGTTAAATGACGAACGCGCTGTCACAGCTACACAAAAGGGTCTCTTTTTAGCTTCAATCTGTGTCCATTTGAACGTGTTTTCTGACTCTTTCTCCGGAACTGGGGCAAAGATGGGTTAGAAGAGATGTATTTTTTAAGAGCCTTTTGCGATGTTGCGATGAGGGAAACATCATTTATTCATCTCACTGAGCCTGCCTCGCGCCTCACTGTAGGAACCGCTCGCGCACAGCTGACACGTTTCTTGGTAATACAGTGTTTTGGAACGTAAACGCGATCCGCGTTCTTTTTTTTCCCCACTCGCATTCCGGAAAGCCACGCCTCCCTGAGCTAGGATTGGCTGATAGAGTCGCGCGTCCTGCGCTAGGATTGGCTAGTAGTTCATTCTCACCGGTCTGCGAATTCGATAGGTACAACTAGCCAATGCAAGCGCGTAGGAGGCGGGGCTTATCGGAAGACGGGTGGAGAAAAAACAGCGGTTCTGTACGCGTCCACTGGTGATCTTTTGCTAGTTGACTCCAAAGTCTACCGTAAGAAGGGAAATCCACCGATCTTTTTTTATTATTTCTGCGTGATTCGATTGTTGGGATGTAAACAAAACCATTCAGAGTGATTTAATAAGTAAAAGGGTTAATTGTAAAGAAACCTACCCACCTTGGATTGCTTTACAGCACTGGTGATAGGAACCAGGGGTTGTGATGTCTGCAATACAAATTTAGCCAGTTTATTTACTATCCAGAATCATCAGTGAATCTACACGTGACTTCTGAGTTTTTTGTATGAAATTGTAAATACATACATATATAGATACATATATGTGTGTGTGTGTGTTTTGGGGGGGTAATTATCCTAACAACACCCTGCACCCTACCTCTCCTCCTTGCCTTGAATGTGTTTTAAAGTATGTTTTAGGTCAAAACTAATAAAAACTCATAAAACAATGTCTTAGGTATCAGGCAGTGGATTTGAAACCTTTTTATGTAATAACTTTGTCAGGTAGCTTTCAGGCACGTTAAACACTTCAGACATCTGATTCCTATCACCACCATTGTGAACATTTCTGACTATTAGTTTCTTTAGAACAGATCTCACACCAAACCACTCTGAATGATGTTATTTATCGAAATGGTTGAATTATACAGAAATTTTTACAAAGTTGGAATTTCCCTTTTAAAAAAATTGTAACGTAGATAATATTTCACATCAAATATCTTCTGTGCTTGAGTTTTACTATAAATGGAGCTCACTTGCAGGCCAAAGGTGATGGCCTTGTTACATGTCTCATAAGCTACTATAAAAAGCCTACAGTCCACAGTGGGCTCAGTGTTATGATGAATTAAGTAGCTTTTGAGTCAACGAACATCCAAGTTTCACCCTTTAAGTAAAGCTAGTTTCCTCTTTTCAGCTGTGAATCAATTCACGCCTGCTTTGCTATTAGCTTGCAAAAGCTTACTGAAGCCTAATCCTATTCACGGCACTCTTTCATAGCTCATTTAAGACTCAAATATGACCAAATGCAAGACATACAAGGCCAGCTCATTTCCTAACGTACATTCTGTGCACTGTCTTTACAAACATCCCTAAAGAAAATTTGTGATTTGTTAAAGCACAAGCTTTAAATCTTCTTTTTTTGTCATCAACTTGTGTTTTAAGGGGATCTGCTCACTAAGGGGATCAAATGTAGAGGACACGTTTCGGAAGGGGAGTGCATCTCAGCGCTGCTAATTCACGCAGGAAAACATGGAATTAGTTTGTTAGGCGTGATAATAAGGCATGACCATAATGACTCGACTGAAGAGGATTAGAGACTGTAGTTATTGTCTGAGGCCTCGGTCCCTTGGATCGGCCGCTGTGTCCCTTAACACAGCCTGCTTTTCCCAATTAAAATGGGCTCTGGTCTGGTTACTCTGCAGAATTTAATGTGACTAATGCTGTTCAATGCCAACCCGGGGGCAATTATTGTCCCTTGATTGGTATTAATAGTTAGCATTCACCCCCACGACATTTCAGGATTGATCACTCAAAGTCTAATACTCCCATAGCACTTAATTAAAGTTTGTATATTGAATTTTTATCTATCAATTGTGTGGATGTGTGAGTTTTTGGATTCTGCAGAGTAGAAATGCTGGTATAAAGCAAAATGTTCATTATTTTTACTTGCCTGTTGCATGCAGTGCAAGTAGATTGTTGATGCTTTACTACATTGTTTTACCTTAATTTTTGGAATTGCCACCACAAGCGTATGCATATGTGGTCTGCAATGCTAGATGAGATGCTGGACGACTGACATTACGAATAGTCATATCTGCTGGAGTGGAATATCAGCATTAAGCTAATGTCATGGGGATCAAGGTGTTAATGTCTTTATAACCGGTGCAGAAATATTCCTGGAAAGCCCTTCACAATAAATCAAAGAAATGACCTAATAAATGTTAGTTTTATTTTTTTAAACCTCTCTCTGATAGGTGACCTCTGCAGTGGCTTGCATATGCAGTTGTTCTGAGCTTAAAGCAGCTTGTGTGTCTATGTACAGTATGGTTATTGTAGAATTGGCCTTAGTTTCTCATATGTAACTGCAGTTTGAGTTTCTCTTTAGAAGAAGTGACTCTTAGCACGTTTGGTTTATGGCTGTACGTGGAGTTTCCTGTCAGGAGCCATATTCAGATACGAGGTTCATGGTCATGTGTCACTATTCAGCCTACTGTCCTTCAGCTTTAGGCCTATTGCTATAAAATATATATAAAATGTATTTGTCTAGTTGGTTTTGCTAGCTGCTTCTCTCTGTTTGCCTACAGTACTGGTTGTATATCTATTAGCATCAGACTGTTTCCAGTGTTTTTAACTTTAATGTAATTAAGCTAAAGTCTAATGTCATCTGCAGTGTTACATTGTACACTGTAGTGCAGCATTGCATCCCTCAGCCTCATTGGTTTGACCTGTTTCATGATTTTATATCGATTTCATGTTTTCTTTCTTTAATGTTCGCTCAGTATGCATTACAAAAACACATTATTCAACCATTGGAAATCACCGTGGTGTTAACCAATCCTGACTGCTAGTCTAGCCACTGATGTATAGGCTGATAAATACAACCAAGATTGACTCGATTAGTGAACAAAATTGTAAAGAAAACAGTGATTTGATTGTTATTCAGCAAAAAATGGAAGTTTTTCCACCTTCATTCAGAGAAAAAAGTCAAACTGAGGAAAAGTATTTATAACCAGCTGCCTCACTAAATTTAGCTTTTAGCATGTTGTCCCGTTTATCAGATAAGTTACTTCTGACATTTGAGTAATTCTTTCTCTCCACTGGAATGATGATTTGAAGACATGTTACAGTTACATGGCTGCCATAAGATATTCAGCTTCCTAGCAGTAGTGTTAGCTGTCTGCTTTCCTCTTGCATTCACCTGCTAATAGAAAAAAATTAAAGCAATTCACCCAAAAGCAGTCTTTCAGTGGTTCTTCCCACCTTCAGCATACATCATCATAAGGGGGTTTTCTAGTCTTTAAAGCAGTAAATCTCACTCTAGAGAATCTGAATTGCTGCATGATGTGAGTAAGCATGTTTAGAACAGATGTAACGATGGCTGCATTTTTAATCTTATTGCATTAAAAGGCTGGAGTGTTCCTTTAATGCCACAAGATTTTATACCATATCATTTTGGAGCATATCTGTTAGTCCACTCATCATGAAATGGTCACACAGTGTAAGGGGCTGCTGGTGTTATTTTAATGTTCTAAAAAAAAAGGAAGGTTCTGATTTGACAGCAGCAATGTCAAGGTTCTTATAGAAGAACATTACCTTCTCGGACACCAACTAGATTGTCAAATGAAATATTTACTGGCCGTCTTATTCATTTGATTGACTTGAATGAGGAAGACAGAGTGAAGCAGCCATAGCAACCAGATGTGTGTATTATGCAATTGGGGCTTCATCGTGAAAAATGCAATACCTCAGCGGCTCCCTTGACAGGAGCCATGGGCCTGAGCTCCTGAGCTCCGGGATGAGTTCCTCTCTGCTTGGCCAGTGATCGTTGTTGTGAGCGGTGATCTTTTCATATGACCTGTGCACTGAGGTCTCGTTAGCTTCTTTCAAATAGACTTACTTCTGCGGCAAGAACCGTTGAGGTTTTGGCGGCTGTAGTCATTCGTTTGTATGTGGCATCCAAGAATATTGGATTGACCCTTTGGATATGTGGATTTCTGAACAGGATGGGAAAATACTAGAGATGTAAACCACAAAAATCTGAATTTGATTCAGTATGACACAGTGGTATCTCGATAAGGAGTGGCTAAAAAATGTGAGTTAAGTTAAAGGACCCATTTCATAGAAACTGAATTTTTCTCACTTGTAGCATGTAAACATTGTTAGAGTTAACACTCATTAGTCGTAATTAATTCAGCTATGCTGAAGGCTGTAAAGGTAGATATGTAAATGTGTAGGTTTTTGCATACAACTGTTTTGAAACCAAGCTGCAAAATAGTCACTGTGAATTCGCTGTTTTTGTGATGTCACAAAAACCCACACATTTAAATATTCACTTACTCAGAGTACAGCATAATAGAATTAATGAATCATGACTGTTTTTGGTATATAAAGTGTTATAAGAGGACCTCAGATGATAAAAGATAAGAAAAATACTGGATGTGGGCCC